TTGCTTGCATCTCAACATTGTATTGTATAGTTACTGCAGGACAAAGATATTAGCAACCTTGTTTCTAACTCTTTTCTTGTTGGCTATCATCCAAAGGTTCGAGTTTCTGCTGTGCTTACAAATGCACCATTCATGTTGAATCTGGATTGTGACCACTACATCAATAACAGCAAGGCAGTAAGAGAGGCTATGTGCTTTCTAATGGACCCCAACCTTGGGAAGAAGTTGTGTTATGTTCAGTTTCCACAAAGATTTGATGGTATTGATCGCCATGATAGATATGCTAATCGCAACACTGTGTTCTTTGATGTAAGTACCATTCTTCTAAACACCAACTCCACAAATATGTGCAAGTTTTATATCAAACTGATCTTGAACCTTTTGTCTTCAATGTTGCTTTGATCATAGATCAATATGAAAGGACTTGATGGGATTCAAGGTCCAGTATATGTTGGTACTGGAACTGTGTTCAATAGACAGGCATTATATGGCTATGATCCACCAGTGTCTGAGAAAAGGCCAAAGATGACATGTGACTGCTGGCCATCATGGTGTTGCTTTTGCTGTGGTGGTTCAAGGAAGTCCAAGTCTAAAAAGAAATCAGGAAAAGGTCTCTTCAGTGTTTTCTCCAAGAACAAGAAGAAGAAAATGATGGGAAAAGACTATGTTAGAAAAGGGTCAGGGTCCATGTTTGATCTTGAGGAGATTGAAGAGGGGCTTGAAGGGTATGATGAGCTTGAGAAATCATCTCTCATGTCCCAGAAAAGCTTCGAGAAGCGATTCGGGCAGTCACCGGTTTTCATTGCATCTACATTGGTGGAAAATGGAGGACTTCCTGAAGGCACAAACAGCCAATCATTGGTTAAGGAGGCCATTCATGTTATAAGCTGTGGCTATGAAGAGAAGACCGAATGGGGCAAAGAGGTAAAGCCATTATCTCAAAACAATGATACATTAGAATTTTCTTGATGCTTTGCACATCAAATATGCTAATACGTTTTATTACAATTACTGATTACACATTCACTTGCAACATAAAAGAAGGAACATAGAGTTCCATGATTAATTAATATATCTCTTTCAATCCCTTTTGACAAATTTGTTTTGATTACAAATACAGATTGGATGGATTTATGGGTCAGTGACAGAAGATATTTTGACTGGATTTAAGATGCACTGCAGAGGATGGAAATCAGTGTATTGCATGCCAAAGAGAGCAGCATTCAAAGGATCTGCTCCTATAAATCTATCAGATAGGTTGCACCAAGTTCTAAGGTGGGCTCTTGGTTCTGTTGAGATTTTCCTTAGTCGACACTGCCCCTTGTGGTATGGCTATGGAGGAAAACTGAAGTACCTAGAAAGATTGGCTTACACTAACACCATTGTTTATCCATTCACTTCCATCCCTCTGCTTGCATACTGCACAATTCCTGCCGTGTGTCTCTTAACTGGAAAATTCATCATCCCCACAGTAAGTGCCAGAAAATTGTAAATTTCTTGAGATTACTAATGTAGTTAGATACACATATTCTGAATGAGTTTTGTTGTGTGCAGCTTACCAACCTTGCTAGCGTTTGGTTTATGGCTCTATTTATCTCCATCATTTTAACTAGTGTGCTTGAGCTCCGATGGAGTGGAGTGACCATAGAAGACTTGTGGCGCAATGAGCAGTTTTGGGTGATTGGAGGCGTTTCTGCTCACCTTTTTGCTGTGTTTCAAGGGCTTCTCAAAGTTCTTGGTGGAGTAGATACCAACTTCACTGTCACAGCAAAAGCAGCAGAAGACACTGAATTTGGAGAGCTGTATCTCTTCAAGTGGACCACTCTTCTGATCCCACCAACCACTCTCATAATATTGAACATCGTTGGAGTTGTGGCTGGAGTCTCTGGTGCCATCAACAATGGATATGGTTCATGGGGACCTTTGTTTGGGAAGTTGTTTTTTGCCTTCTGGGTCATTGTTCACTTATACCCTTTCCTCAAAGGTCTCATGGGAAAGCAAAACAGGACTCCTACCATTGTAATCTTGTGGTCAATCCTTCTAGCATCCATTTTCTCTTTGATTTGGGTCAGGATTGATCCCTTCTTGCCCAAGCAAACTGGTCCAGTGCTCAAACAATGTGGAGTAGAATGCTAAGACCTTGTGGAGAGGCATGTGGATGTCCCTACTTCATTTGATGAGTAATGGCACTTGTGTGCATGCTTTTATTTTGTTACTGCTATTGAGTGATTTGACTTGATGAGAATTATCTGTGTACATAGTCTTGAAGCAGAAAATTGGGTACAATTAGAATGTGTTCTTTTACATGGTACAACAACCATATATCATAGCCATTGTCATTGTTTTGGAAAAATATTGAGTTTTGGTGCTACCAGATGATTTTTCATCTATTGAAACTTGATTCTTGAAAATAATACTAAACTTCTTTTTTTTTTTGCCAACTTGATATCAATTTGCTGTAGTGGTTTAAATGCCAACTCCTAACTATCATTTCACATTACTAACAAGTGAAATAGCGATGAAGTTCCAGTTTTAAGAAAGATAACTTAATCCTAGTTGCCCTTGTCCCATCAGTTGGTACACCTACTTCACCAAAGGTGATTTTCCTTCCTTTGGAGGTATCCTACCACACAAGTCCTTTAGCCAAAAAATAGAGACAAAGGACTTAGGAGCTAACAATAAATAATTGACAAATGATAGTTATACCTCCCTTAAATCTTAATTAATAAATATTCTTCTCTTTTCCTTCTTTAATATTCTTCCCTGTTTAATTAATTCCCCAATTTCAATTATTATCAATTGAAACTTTGTTGCCAGAAACTACTTTTCTGCTCACCCTTTTCCCTGTTTGTTCAACTCTGAAGAAAAAATGTATGAGCATGTTTGTCCTCTTCATTGATTACGTTCGTTTTTATAGATAATTTTTCTTTTTGTTTTTCTGTGATTTTTTTTTCTATTAACAATTTTAGTTTACAAAAATTGTCTTCTTCGTCTTGTTTGTTCTATTATGAAGGAAAAAGGTTTGAGCGAGTTGTCCTCTTTGTTAATTACACTTCATTTTTTTTTATTTTTTATTTATAAAAAAATCTCCTATTTATTTTCTTCTTTTATTAACTTTTTCTGTTAATTCTCTTTAGTGCGCTTTTCTTGCTTGCTTTTGTGCGTACTTTTTATGAAAAAAGTCATGGTGATGAAATTATGCAATGTGGTCAACCTCTATGAAATGTGGTGCAAATGATAGGGTTTGACAGATGAATCATGTGATACAACTTCATCATATTGTGAGTTCTCTAGAAAGTGAACTTTTGTTTGGTGTCATTAGACACAGTTGTGAAATATGATCATATTGGTCTCAAAATCTTCTCGAGTTTCATTTAACTTTCTCTCTAACACAATATTTCAATTATAGTGCACACTATATGTATACAAATGTCAAATATTAGCCTAGTTAGGACACACACGTCATTTTTCTCTTTTAGTAAAATTCATAAAACTACAATGACACAAAGTAATTAAATGAAATAGTAAAAGTTAGACTATACAAGGATCATAATATGATGCGCTCAACTGAAATGCAAAAGTAAACTTTTTATTTTTCTTTCTAAAATTGATATATATATATATGAAAGATACGTGAAAAAAAAAATACTAAATTAGACGTTATAGATGTAAAATTAAAAAATTTAAAACAAAAAATTTAAAATATTTTAAAATTTTAATTATTTTTTTTTTAAAGGAGATGTAATTATAGAAAAAAGGAGTGTATATATGCTTAACCAAGACTGAAAAAGCAAAAAAAAAACTCTTCTATCAGAAACGTTACCAATGAGATATCTGTCAGAGTTGGAAAATTTTTTACAAGAATTTTTTTTTTAAATACAATGTCAGTATTAATATATAGATGGTTATCACAGGTGATTTGATATTTATAACTTTTAATTAAAGACCAGAATTCAGTATTCAACTTAAACATGAAATTCCGTTACGGTGTTAATTAAAAATGAGTTTTAAGGTGACTTTTATAGTGATTGTTATTAAAATTAATAAATTAACTGTACTCAAAGAGTTTGTAATTAAATGATAACATAAAAAGATTTTACAGCATATATTTTTTGTCCTATAAAGCTCAAAAGTTGGCTACTTCAAACTTTTTAGAGGGGCCATCACTTTTGTGGACCAGAAGAAATAGAAAGTGTCAGCATTACAAGAGTATTAATTAATGTATGGGCCAAACTGGGAAACAAATTATGAATTGGATTTGAGTAGAGTAAGGTTGACAGATGACATGTGACCTCAATATATGGGTTTGAAGTTGGCATTGGCAAGCCCATCATTGAAAATAAAAGAAAATGAGTTGTAGGTAAGATTTGGGTCGCATTTCCAACTCTAGAACATGCACAGCAAAAATCACATTTCCCAATAAAAAAAATGAAAACATCAAATCTAAAATATACTACAATTCATAATACAAAATACAAAATGACTCACATTAGTGAATAGTTTGGATTCAAATTGCAAGACTTGGTCCTCCATCTATGTTCGTTGTGGAATGTAAATGTTGAACTACTCTTCCCATTCCTCCTACAAATAGCATTTTCCATTTGGTTGTTATAGCTATAAATAAATGTGACATTACAACTCCCTTGTATGCAATGCGTAGTAGCATCATTAAGAACTAGATAAAACACCTCCATTGTTGGTCTTTCTTGCCTTTTCTGTTTAATAATATTATGAACCGAGACGTGACATAATAACCAGCTCGTGTGACACATTAAACATGAAACATGTATCTAATTGATCATGTCACGTACTAAGAACCAGAATAGATATTTCTCCTTGGAGTCCAAGCAATCCAAAAATAAAGGAAAAGGGCCTCACACCTATCGCTCCTTCCCTAACGTTACGTCTCTTAGACTCTAAGTTTGAGTCTCAACTCTCAAACACACACATACGACCCTCCAACTCACAGTTTGGTACACACTCACAACCACGACCTTGATGTTCATCTTTCACTCTCAACCCATCATTTCTTATAAAAACATCTTCTCCTTTTCCACTCTTCCCACCCACTCCGTAACTTTGCCTTGCCATGGCCACCAACTCCATGGCTGGCTTGATCACCGGTGCTCATTCTCATCTCTCACGTGACTCTGATGAGGTATAGTATCTTCACCTTCTTCTCATTTCATGTTGCACAACATCATGTGTAACATGTTGACATGTTCCATGTTTGCAGCATCAGGCTCCTACCCGTCAAGGTTCATCAAAAACATGTCGAGTTTGTGGTGATGAGATTGGATACAAGGAAAATGGGGAGCGGTTCGTGGCTTGTCATGTCTGTGGATTTCCTGTTTGTCGACCATGTTATGACTATGAGAGGAGTGAAGGAAACCAGTGCTGTCCTCAATGCAACACACGCTATAAACGTCACAAAGGTTATATAGCTTCTTAGCTCTCTAAGTTTTGTGTTATAGTTTAATGTATTAGGAAAAAACTTAGATGTAGTTTCTTACATAAATGCATCACAGTGAATCATTAGGACTTGGTCTAGTAGTGAAAATTGAGATACTAGATTCAAACATTAATGTTGTTTTTCAATCTTTCCCATCAGTCAAAAAAAGAAATGCATGTTAGTACTTATAATATCTGACACTTTGATGGTGGCTTCTGGGCAGGTTGTCCTAGAGTGGTTGGGGATGAGGATGAGAACTCTGATGCAGATGATTTTGATGATGAGTTTCAGATTAAGAATCATCGTGAAGATCTAGATCGGCAATATGATGTTAATCATGTGGTAATTTCTCTTGCAAAAATAAGTGGAAATGGAACTTGAAAATCTTTTATGTATTTCCACCAAATGGGGTTTGGCTAAAACTAATGAGACAATTAGTATTGTGGCTGTGCCAATTAATTGAATGTGAATGATCGAAGAGACTATGGACTGTTGTGATTTTTACAGGAAAATGGGGACTACAATAAAGAGAAGTTGCATCCCAATGGTCAAGCTTTCTCTTCAGCTGGGAGTGGTAAGAAACTAGTCAATTTTTTGACAGATCATAGTATAAGCAAATTGCAAATTATCAACAAGGATGTTTTTTATTTTTTTTGATATTCTATACTATTTGTTTATATATTGGTCTATTGTTGTTTAGTTGCTGGCAAGGATTTTGAAGGGGACAAAGATTTCTATAGCAACGAAGAATGGCAAGAAAGAGTAGGAAGAAAAGAAAGGTCAATTAGTTTTTTTTTTTTTGTTTCTTTTTATTTTATTATTTTAAAATTTATTTGTTATTTTAGTATGCGAACCTTATTTACATGTGCTACTTATATGTTAAAACTCCATTTGTTACTATGATTGCAATCTACCTTCTATATAAATTATCATGTCCATCAAAAATATAAATTAGAGATGAAATAATTATAGAAAGTATAATGGTGTCAAAAAAAGTTAAGACAAACAAAAAAATATACAATCTGTATACCTTTATATATAGTAGAGCATAAAAGAGGAAAAGATGCACACTCTATTTTTGAATATTTATTTAGAAAATAAAAACAAAAGTTATTAAAAAGATAATGATGATACTTTTATTTAGTGAAAGAAAATAATTATTCAATAGTAATCTATTATTCTAAAAGATAATGTGCAATCAATAAAATAGTCTTTGGTTATAATGACAAAAAGATTAAAAATAATTTTTTTAGAAAATATAGATAAATAAATTGAGTTTTAAGAAAAGTGAAAATCAAAAACTTACATAGCATTTATATACGGTATATATTATTATGATAATATATTTACATTAGTTTTATATTTTTTTATTCTCCACTTATTATTATTTTTTTTTTGTAAACAAAACAAATTTTTCATAACAAATATTATGAATTTAACAATAAAAATTGTAATACTTGTAAAACAAAAATATCTTAAAAATACATATTTTATAAGTTATACTAAGGGAAACACTAGATGAGGCCTAAATAGTGCTACTTAAAAGCTCCTACTTTTCCACATAGTAGTGTAGTAACCGTGATAGATATAAAAGATCAAATAAAGTAAAGAATGAATTCAGGGATTTATACTGGTTCATCTACTATGTTTAGTTCTTGATCCAACTAGATCAACGTTATAGATGTAAAATTAAAAAATTTAAAACAAAAAATTTAAAATATTTTAAAATTTTAATTATTTTTTTTTTAAAGGAGATGTAATTATAGAAAAAAGGAGTGTATATATGCTTAACCAAGACTGTTCTTAGTAAATGTTTCTTAGGGCATATCTAATGAGTGGTTCTTACATAAATTTTTAGGATAAAAATTAATTTTTAATTTTTCACCATCAAAGTAAATGAATTAAGAACTTAAATTCACTCTTCTATTAGAGAAAAAATAGAAAAGTTCTTAAATTCTACATAGTGTCTGAGGGCTATTTTTTGAAAGAGTCCTTTTTTAAGTTTTTTTATTTATATATATATATATATTTTTATCTTTTATCTGGTATAAATATTAACAACTATAAATATTTATATATTAAACACGAAGATCTATCTTGTATGAGAGTGTTTTTAGGAGTTTTTCTTTTAATAAGAGAATTTTTAAAGCTTTTTAACTTTTTATTTAATTCAATTTTTATAAATCTAAAATATAATTTATATATTTAAAAAAATAATTTATTTAAATTTTAAATATAAATTATATATTCAAACACAATATTTATTTTTATATATAAATTAGTATAAAATTTTATTGTATATAATAAATATTTATTCTGTATATTATACGAATAAAATACTATTATATTTTAATTTTAAATTTTTCATTAAAATAAAGAGATGGAAGAAACTTTAATTTAGCTATTAGTAAATTTTAAATACATTTTGAATTTTCAAATTACTTATTTTTATTATAAAAAAATTCAATTTTTCTCTTCAAACCTATGTAACGTTGTGGTTTTTCGTAAAGTAAACACTTAATTTGATCCCTTAAAGATGGTAGAGGTGGTGGATAAGTCTTTGAAATTTTTTTGTGGCATTTGGATACTTAAATTTTAATTTCGTTATGTAAGTTAGCTTTTCCGTTATACTTAATTACCAACTTTATTAGTCTTATGATCGATCAATAATTAATTATCATGTTGACACATATTCTCTCTCCGAGTTAATCGTTCTATATACTAATCACCTAATATGGATCATAATACAAGTTTTGGTACTTTCCAATTAGTGAACACTTTATCATGTTTAAATATTTTGGTCATGAATGTTTTAGTTAAAATGGAAGGTTGTTGTTGGTTTCATAGGGTAGTTAGATTTTTATGTCTTTGTCATTCTTAATTTCTTTGTTTATTATGGCTACATGTTTAGAATTATAAATCCTAAATTATTTAATTTGAAGTTTAGTAAGATAAGTGGTCATATGAAAGATCTCAACCAAGGATGCATTAATTAAATATGAGTGTTTTTTCTATGTTTAATGAATTACAAAGCACCTCTAGTAGTGAGGAAGAGCTTAGTGATAATGATCTTCTTTGTTACCGTGAAAATAAGGCTCTAGTGAGGGTTTCACAAACAACCAAGCACTCAAGGAATTTTTTTTTTCACTTGTCTTTTTCCAAGGGTATGATAGTATATTATTGATGTTATTTTTTTGTTTTCTTTTTGCTTAATGATCTAACATTCAGATTGTTTTTACTAGTACAAGATCATTCAAGCAACTGTTTCATTGCTTATGCAAATGGGCACAATGAATAGAGCTCAAGGTATGTATTAGAAGCAGAGCAGATTACGATGAAGCAAATGTGGAAATTAAAATTGAAATGTTGCTTAGGGTAGATAGATTTGTGGTTGAGTTGAAAATGTTAAAGGTTATGATGTTTGTTATCTTTGTAATTATTATAAATTTAATTATAGTTTAGGTTGTGTTTATGACGGAACATAGGGCATAAGTGTATTTGGCCTATTATGTAAGTGACATGACTATACTAAAATGTAAATGGCATGTCTTGTAGTAATGAAAAATTGGATTACTCATGAGTCTTATGCTTTTTATGTTATGTAGTTAAATTTAAGTGTTATTCGTTGGTATAAAAGATGTAGAACCATGAGAATTAATTATCTTCTAAGAGACAAAATGATGGGATGATAAATAACATTGTTTGCATAATTAAAAATTAACAAAATAACATTAAGGTGTTGGCTATAATTACATACATATTGAATAACATGAGTTTCATGTTTTTGAAAATTTGAGCTCAAATTACATAATAGAACAAAAAAAAAAAACATAATAACAAAACTGAAATTTGATCTCAAAATACCCGATAACAAAACCCCAAAAAACATAGTAATGAAATTGAAATTTGAGCTCAAATTACATAATAACAATTATACTAAACAGAACCCAAAAAACCAATAAATCCAAAAACATTGTCGAAAACAACTGTGCAACTTGTGTTTCTTGTTGTATTGCGTCAACCTCGACATTTTCAGCTTGGATAGTCATCGCTCTAGTTGCTTTCTTCTTCTTCTTCAAATTGGGATCAAGTGCAAAATCATCAATTTTGCATCCTCTTTGATTATGTCTTTCATGTCACACCTTTGGCATTAGACAACAACATATTTTCTTTTTAGCTTATTATTTTGAACAATTTTTTCAATGTCATCTTTCCTACACTGAATTTTGAACCTCCCCGATTTCCTTTTAACTGGTGGGGGAATTGACCTAACATAATCAGCCATTTGCCAATATTGAGAACTTTAGGTTGGTTGGATGAAATGCTGGTATGTTGCATTGTATGAACCCATGAACAATCAAGCATCACAAAAATCCTTTAGAAAGAAACTTTTGTATGTTATTGTTGCACATGTATGTTGACATGGTATACTTGCATAGTCTACGCCAGAATATTAAATTATTGTAGATTTACACATATTCAATCTTGTGTGCAGAAAAGACGACAAAGAAATTATTATTTTTAATTAATGATAATTAATAAGACTCTACCAATATTATAAATTATGTATATCAGTTAAATAAAAAAATACATAGAAAAAACAAAACAAGTAAAAGGCATATCATATAAATTGTTGAACTTCTAAGGTTGTGGTAATTTTATGTTTTTGTCATATCATTGAGATTTTATCCTTACAACTTTATTCATATAAACTTACATTTGCATATACCTATTCTTAAGTTATACTATAGAATATATTTTGTTAATTATATGATAATGCAAACATAACATGTAAGGATCATATGATATTGAGCCTAGGCATGTTGGCTAAGCCCATTAAACATCTAAATCTTCAAACTTCAGAATTTACACACAATTGTAATGGCAAGAAATCAACATGAAAGGAACCACAAATTTAACAAAATTGGATAACTTTTGTAAATATTCAAAGTATTAGATGTATCTTCACTTCCACAGTTCCACCTACACACAAACATGTTATAAGTCAAGCACTTGAAGCTATGTAATAATGTATTTTCTTATTAACTTTCAACGGAACCTTACTTGTGTAACATTAGGGTGCTCTTAAATTTTATGAATAACTTACAAACTAATTTTTTGTTTTTCACAACATACGTAACAACTCCATCATGGCGAGCTGTCCTTTTTTAATCTTTTAAGGATATTTAATATGCAGAACTTTCTGCTTGGAACTATTTTGAAAATTAAGAGTTCATTTTTTTATATTTTAATTATAACTAATAAAATTTTAGTATGTTGACATAAATATTAAAGTCTTTTCACTTGGAGTGTGTTAGGAATATGCCATTAGATACTGATAAAGTAGTTTTAATTTTTAGTTTAAATAAGTCAATTAATTAGTTTATAAAATTATGTTCTAGTGTTTCTTCTTTTATAATATAATTGATATATTTAAACACAATATTTTGTTAAAGTATTGTTAATTTTTAATTTGAATAAGTCAATTAATTAGTTGATAAAATTACATTTTAGTGTTTCTTCTTCTACAATATAACATATATTATAACACAATATTTTTAGTTTGTTAAAGTATTTTTAATTTTTAGTTTAAATAAGTTAATTAATTAGTTGATAAAATTATTTTATAGTGTTTCATGAGAGAATGAAGAGCCTTCTTAGACATTGCAATGACCACTTGTTTCAATGTATTTGTTTGTAATATGTGCAACTTAAATAACTTTTATAGTTTATTATTAATATTAAATTATATATCTAGTGATATAATAAATATGTAGAT